AAATAATAGTAGCCGAGTTCGATTGCTAAAGTTTATCCGACAAGCAGTTTTCAATATAGTACGCAACTAGATTTGCAACCGGTTTTTTGTTTCTATTTTTCTCTAACACTAAGAAATAAACACCAACTTTGATTATAAATCAGGCCGTAAGATATTAGTATTAATTATTACCTACTAAAACAATATTCTATGATTATTAATTAGATCGAAAACGTTTAATTGGCATAGTATTGCTATACAATATTGCATGTTAATCTTCAGGCAATACTGGAAATTAAAAATATTTTGCCAGTATTGTTTTTGTATAGATACATTAATATTGGTCAAAAAAGCTATTCTAATATTGCAGTAATATTGGCTAATAATTGACAATATTGACCCAACATAAAAATGCTCTGCCAATATTGTATAAATATATACCCAATATATGATGCTACATGGGCATGGTCATACAGATGTTGAAATCAAGCAAATTATAGATTGTTCTTTTCGTTGCCATGTTTTTTTAGCGCTGATTTTTTAGTTGCGTTGTCCACAAGACAAACAAAAATTAGTCTGCAATGCAACATTGTGCCCTTTCTGATTTCCCCTTTTTAAACCACCAGCTTCATCGCCCTATCCTCTTTTTTCGTAATTTAGGTTTTCTTTTCTTGCTTGTCTCTCAATTGCTTCCAATACATTTTTTTGCTATTTTTTCATTCTTCTCCAAGTGGGCTTTCACTTTTTTCAAACAATATAGGACTTTTTGTGCATCAGGAGTAATAAGTGGTGAAACTGTTATTTTCTGTCTTTTGTTCATTTGTCGTTCGAATTTTTTAGGTTTGTTTTGCAAAAGTATTGAAGCGCTGTCGTTGTTTTGTGGTTTTCATCCATTTTGGATGCTCTCCCGGATAATGTTGAGGTTGGGTTATTTTTCTTTCGAAAATTATTTTTCGAAAGTGTTGAGATTTTCTTTTACCTCTTGCTTGACAACAAAAATTGTGTATCGGTTTCTGTTCCGGCTTTTGTACTTTACTGTTGTTTCATGTTTATTAACTGTCGTCGTTCTATTCTCTTTACCCATTTTTGTTCTTAAAATGAGTAGGGACATGTTTTCCGTTTTTTTAATTGTGCAGATGCAGATTTGAAAAACTCACTACAAAATTGCGTATTATTTCTTGCTGATGTTTTTTTGGTTGCAAAGACATTATCGAGTTCATTTCGCAATTTTTGCATCTGACTGAATTTTTCTTCGTTTTCATCATTACTATTAAAACACACTTCTATTTTTTCCTTGTGTTCCTCACTTTTTTACTCCAATTTATATTCGGTTTATATTTGCTTATCATCTTATCGAATAATGGCGCAACGTATTGGCAATCGGTTGGATTTTTACGTGCAATTAAACTACAGTGCGTACCGTATCTGTAACTAGGCGAAATTCCTCGTAATTACTGTTTTTCAGGTTAAGAAAAGGTTTCCGGAATTGATAATCACTATCAACAATTAATAATAATGTGGATGATAATGGAATAACACTTTATTGGACTTAAATACTGGCGCCAGGACAAGCTGATTTTTTACTCTCCTAGTAGACACGTTGCTTATCAAAGGTGTGTCGCTTGCACAGATACGACGAAACGATTATCAGCCGCGAATAATTATTCCATTTATTTGATAAAATCTATTAACAATGAATTGCTCTTTACAGTTTGCTGGGTTGATATATTTTGGTGAAATCCAAAAATGGTGTGCGCTACTGATTAGCGCAATCAATGCGTAACAAAGTCGATGGTACCAGTGAACGAAGGGCGTATGTGACGAGGTGTTGAAAGAAATTGAACACTGTCACCGGTACGTTAGAAAGCCGAACTAAACAACCGTAAAGACGATTCATTGAGTAAAGTAACCTGAAAATAGATATCTAAGTTTAGAGGCCAGCAATAGATCTGAAGGTACTCAAATAGCGAGTGTCTCGACAAAGCACTTGCGGAAAATGTTCTGTTTTATTCCCAGCTCGGGGTTCTTTTCAATTGAATTCTCCGCTTGGTTTTCTCAAAAATTTTCAACAAAATGTTGCCACACAGATCAAAAGAAAAAGGCAATTAGGGAAATTAAATGCACACCTTTAAATCCGGCGAAAGTAGCATTCAAATGGGGCGCCACATAATTTAAAGTATTTATTGTTTTTACCTTGTGGAGTTCAAGAAAGTATATTTATACATAAATTAGGCTGTTCCTAACGAGTTAATAAATTCTATTAAACTTAAATATTTAGAAATCCCACAGAGCAGCCGGGCAGATTAAAAGCGACTCCGAATGTGTTCCTTAAACTTAAATCAAAATTAATCTCGTTTTGAAGAAGGTAAAAGAGAGTGCATAAACAGATCTCCTCTTAAAATAGAACCTCATACATCGTATTTCGTCTACTTACTACATTTTCATCTTCTCTGTAACCGAAATAGTCGATCACCTTCTCATCGGCTGACGAATGTTTTCCAGATTTCCAGAGTTTACGTCTCTTAACTTACTTTAGTGGGTCTATCCAGATTAGGTTGTTTCATTTGTTGCATCTCACAACTCAACACTAATTAGGTTACTGACAATAAAAACCTAATGCATGCAGGTGATTTTTCGAAAGTAACTACAATCTGGACTAAGGGAGTTTTTTAGGAAGCGTAGCTAGTTGTTCAAGAATTCAGCAGTTTACAGTCTGGCTAGTAAATCAGTTATTTGGCCTCAAAACTTTGAAAGTTTACAAGAAATATTTCCAGTGTATAGAAGAAGGTGAAAGGTATAGGAAAATGTGAAACTTCTGAGAATTTAAGCAAAATTATATTTTATTTGTCCAAAAAAACATTTATATGTTTCTCTAGGCTGCTCTCTGAAAAATCGGCAATTCTTTTCGTCGATTCACATTTTAAAAGACGTGGTTATCAATGAAAAATAATATATTATTTTCTATTAATATTAGTATTGTTGTCAATATCGTCCTTAAAGTGGTTTAGCTCATCGCAACAGCAAACATCGAAGGAAAATTAATTAATCCCAGATCCGAAATTGAATAATCAAAGAATCAACCCTTTTAAAACCTTTTTATTCTGTATTAAAATTATTGTTATCCCCAATCACTTGTACGTTTTAATCCTGACAA